TTATTTATTTTTTTATTGGCCAAAAGGGGATTACAGTAATAAATGTAGAATAAATATATTGCATAAAGTTGGTTGAGTGGTCCATCTCGATACATGTAAATATAAATATTATATAAAAATAATTAATAATATTTAAAATAATCTGCGGGGAAAATAAAATATTTAAGAAACGTAAATAAAATAAGAAAAGTAACCATCGGAAAATATTCCAACAGAGATGCTAATGCACCGCCAAAACTAAATAACCTAAATAAATATAATATATTAACCTAAATAAACTAACCTAACCTATGTAAATACAATTTAAATGATATTAATTTGCAATGTTTTATTTAAATCGGTATTGCATAATACTGATATTTTACATTTACCTTCAGTACAATGTCTATTTTAATTTCTTATTTCTAAATCCATATATTAGTTGAGTTTTTTTATTTTTATTTTTCTGTATCACATGCGATAATATAACTATTAGTATTTTATTTATTTTAATTTTATTATTAATACGAAAAACATAACCTGTACCCTAGAACACAGTAAGAATATGTGATACTGGCAGGTGATGGAACAAACTTGCAAGAAGAAGCAATCTAGTGGTGGCACTACATGTCGTTTATTTTTTTTATCGAACAATTTTTTACTTTAGGGGAACCGATTGACCAGGTGGCGGTAAACATATCCGCGTTCAAACAGTGACGCTGGGTTACCAAAAGTGAAAAAAACCTACGATCTTCAAATATTATTTTACCTTATGACACATATACGAACATAATTGCATATTTTCTCGATTCCTACTATAATGCAAAATGTGTTGTTTAGTTGGAATCATAACTAGCATTGATTGATTAGTCAATAGACAATTAGTCAAATCTTGCAGGTCGTGCCAAGTGCAACTCTTTACAACCCGTAAACGTGCCATGGCTACAAACATTGTAATTGAAAGTATACAACGAATCGAATTATTGATGTACATGAATATTCATTGCGGTAAACCTTCGACTGTTATTTTTTTTTTTTAAATTTTTTCTATTAAGAATACTCGCAAACCGATCACGATCTAGTTTATATCGTACTGTTTCCCCTCCCCCCCCTATCCCGTTTAAACAATGCTAAATAAAATAGTGTTATTTCGATACCGACTGGAATTAAGTGTAATAAATAATCACTATTGATACACTCAATGTCGAGTCTGCGAATGATAATAAAATGTTTACCTATATATTGTACGTTTATATCTATTATATGAACGCCGTGGCGCTGTTTCGAAACGCATCGAGCCACAGTCGTTTCTCTGAAAGCTTTCCGCTACTACATTATAATATTATGTAATACGCTCTTTGTGCCCGTTTCGGAATTTCCATTCGGGTTTCAAAGACGGTACCCCAGGTATGATTATAATATCTCTATAATTGCAGTGTTTTCGCCGTGTACGTTGCTGATACGTGTATGTATATATTCTATTGGTGCGTCGATCTGAAATGTCCCCGAGGAAATAATAATAACGGTATGGGAAACTCACGTCAAGCGATCGTACGGAATGTACGAGTATTCTCCTGCGAACAAAATAAAAACTCGATAACTGCGTCTAAAATTGGTTTGAAAAAAACGTATCCAAGGCACAATAGCACGAAACACTACAGACAAGGGCATAGCCAAAGGGGTAGAGAGATAATTGCCAACCCCCTTCTTGACCATAAATAACAAATGTATTAATGCTTAACGAAATTTTAAATTGACCCATACATGACCCAATATTTAAACTGCTTAAAACTTTTAAAATTTTTACGTTTTCAACATATATTTTTTAAAAATTATATTTTAAATTTTCGATTGATGAAATTCGATGAACATTTCCTACCCGAAGAAACAGTTTTTTTATTGTTTCTCAACAATATAATTTTACAAGAATGTTTTTAATGTATCATATATTTATTTTTTTATATAGATCTCGTAAATTATAATTAAAAATAAAAATTTTGATATGTGTAAAAATTTAAGAATAAACCTTATAAATAGTAAAAATAGTAGTAAACAAATTTTGATAATTTTATACTCCTCCCCTGATGTAACTTCTAGCTACGCCCTTTGCTATAGTATTAAAAAACGTAGAGTATCGAATTTAAAATTAGTGTTCTTTATGAACACACGATGTTGTGAATTTGAAAAAAATAATATTTTCTACGGGTGTTTGATAGTGATAAGGAAATAAGATTAAGTTAGGTTTATGAGTAAAATATTTAAATTATAAATCTAACTGTTTAACTTCTGTTTCATATTGTGATACCACAAAAAAAAATATTTTACAATCGACTAGGTATCGATAAGGTATCGTAGTAACAAGGTTATTGATGATTTAAAGTTGAACGGAACGTTACAAAATGTTCCATATTGTCATGTTATTATTGTTATCAACTATAATATAAATAATATTCATATTTCATATCAATCAGCCATTTCGCGTCTTCAAGATGAAGCATTTTTTTTCTTACGTAGAATTTGTAAAAACTGCGGAAAATTTTCGAGGAGGGAGGAGTTACAACCCCTAGTTGCATCACTGCCCATTACCTATATTATATACTCGCGTTTTGTGAGTTTCGTCCGAGAATACGATTTATCGTGTCATTAGTAATAACATCAAGCTCAACCCACAACTATGTATCAGTTTTGATTGTGCCAATTACAAAAATAATTTTTTAAGGTACACATTTTTTCTTTTCGATAAAACATTCAAGTATTACGTCAACACATTTTTTAGCATTTTTGATACCCCCTCCCCTATATTGACATAAGTTGGGCAATCCACCTCCTTATCTTACGTCAATGTTATTTATGAAATTAATTTCTTCAACTATCAAAATAAAGATAATTATAAGAATAATAAGCTAGCACATCTTCGATACAGTCGGTAATTCATCAACTTTAGCTTTTTTCGCGCATTAATTCGAATTTTTATAAATATGATGCTGACATCAGATTTGTGATTTAGCCCCCCTCTCACCATGTAATTTATTGTCAGATTTATCAAACCCCTCCCTGGTTTACTGACAAAATACTTGAATGCTTACCAAAGTAAAATTTTATTTTAACACATTTATTTATCCAGTTAAGTAATAGCTCTTCTCAAATCCGAGTAGATTGATGAAATGACGGTCAGCAAAATATTTCTTTCTTTACTAGATCTACTGAAAATTTCTTCATTCTCATTAAAATTTAACCTTTTGAGTATTAGTTCTAGTTTTGTCAGGCCTGTCTCAATTCCCAGTCTAAAAATAAATTTGATTCAGTCTTCTTATATACTACCCTGTTAGTTACAAAATAAAAAAAGGTAGTAAAATGAATTCATTTTTCGCTTTGTTTAGAATCTAAAAATATATTTGTCCTAGTTCATTGTCTTTCACACTGCAAAACCTACATAATTCATACTGCTAAATAAAACCAAAACCTGTTTATAAGATACCCTACATTTGATTAATAAAATCCTTCAAACTATAACCATATTCATGAACAATTGATAGATTTGCTATTATTAGTTAATAAATAATTCTATCATGTTTTTTGAAATTTTATAAAATATTTTGTTAGTGTTATCATTGAGTATTGATTGTACTCAATCATGATATTACCTTAATTTTATTAAAAACTCACAAGATGATGAATAAACATAATGTTCTAAAATAATTATTTATTTTTATAACAAAAGTAAAAGATACAAAAAAGACTAAACAGAATCTGAAGCTAACACAGCACTTTTGAGGAACAAATAATAACGATTTACTAGTTCAATTTTACTAAGTATAACATTACAAAAAAAAAAAAAACAATAACCAATAACCAAATAAACCTTAAGCAGATTAGGGAACATTGTTACATTTATATGAGATTAAAATAATGTAATGTAATTACTAGAATACATTTTCACTCACTAATCTTATTAAAAAATTGTATAAATATAACTTAAACCTAACACTTATCAATAATTATTTAGATAATCAGCAGCGTATTTATGAGGAAAAAAAATCAAGTTCAACCCCTTCTCTTATGATAGGTATCTAATTTAATTTATCAAGATGATTTATAACTGTATATTATACTATCATAACATATATCATAAAAATTTAAAAGATATCTAAGTATTTTTCATGAGTTTCTAGAGATCTATTTGAAATTATATGAACCCCCTTATGAAAATTCATAAATACGCCATTAAATAAAATACAATATAAATATTTTAATCTTTGAAATATTGCACTAATGACCATAAAGCTTATCTAAAAGCTAGATATTAGATTATTATAATATTTAAATTGTGTATTACAGTGCTAACGTTTTATGTATTTGAATATGTATAATAATAATTAAAAATTGAAAACTATTAGTGTCAAACAAAGATTTTCAGACTTTTGAATGATTGGGTGATGCATTACAATAAATATAAATAATATAAATTTTGAAAGCAAAAAAAACTATTAAGTTAATTATGCAGTTAATAGTATTACATCAATAATATAATGTAATATATACTATACATTATTCTAATTTTTTTTTTTTTTGACATAATTATAATTTTTTGGTTATTGAATATGCTAACAATACATTTTTGGGATCCTTATTAAAATAAAAAACATACATTTATATCTATATACTATCTTTAGTAGTAACTTTTAGTATATATTAATATATTAGTTGATTGTAAATATCAAAACATCTTGAAGATAGTTAATATAAAGAATTAGCATCATTAGACTTTTGAGTAACAATGTGCTAGAAGTTAAGCTAAAAATAAAATAGTTAAAAAATAAAGTATTAGTAGGTACTATTATACACTAATCTACATAAAAATTTAACTAATTTTTGAGGAACACAGCACAAATTTTTTAATTAGTTACAATAAATTCTGATGGTGTCATGACCAAAAATAGGATACACATTTTAAGTACTTATAAAAAAAAAAAAAAAAAAAACAATGGATTATCAAAACAAAAAATATAACAATTTGAATGTTACCAAATTGATGATTTAAGAATTTTTTCTGCTTCGGTTTTGGCCTGAAATAAATATTTTAAATTTTATAATTATATATTTTCAATAATCTCTTGGAATAATCTATTAAAATATGTATATTGTAGTGTATAATAGTGTATTGTATTAAAATTGCAACAATATATTCCTAAAAATAAATCTAAATACATAAATTACACACAAATAATACCTAACAAAAATCTAACAAAAAATTATGGTACAAAATTGTTCAATATATATATATATATTAGTCTAGTAACTTAATTCAGTTGTTTAAAAATATTAAAAATTTAATAAAATTTAAACTCAAATTTGAGGTAAATTTTAGATTGATTTAGTCAAAATATATTTACTTCGTGATCCTCAACAGTTTTTACTGGATACTGTGTAACAAGTTTTAGATAATACTCTGCACTAAATTTGTTATCCATTTTCAAAAATGTTTTACCCAACATAAGAAGATTTTTACTGTAAAAAAAATTTAAAATTACTCAATGTAAAATGACTAGGTTATGTAAATCAAACCAATAAAATTTTGGTTGTAATGATTCAGCTTCTTTAAAATATTTTAATGCTTCTTCAAATGTAGATGAAGGAATTTCAGTACTAAATATAATTGATCCAATATTCCGTTGGAACCAAGAAATATCAGCCAAATTATAACACCTAAAAATCATACACATAAATAACACAAGTTACAGAAAAATGTTTCGTCACTAGACGAAATCAGTATGATTTAATTATATATTAACTTTTAACAAATGTTGTTAAAATCAATATATAATATTAAAACATTTATTCCATGAATAGAAATAATATTTCTTATGGTTTTATATAATGCAATTCAGTACAATGCATATGCTTTGAAAAATAAACTATAGGACTAGGAATTTTTAAACAAACAAATTGTATGTTATATAAGCAATCATAATTCGTTTATAAATACAAAAATAATATTACAATGATGATAGTTATGTTTCTAAATATTACTTATTGTCTTAATTAAATAAATAGTAGTAAAGGGAAAATAAGAAAACTTACCAAAAACCAATCATATAACGAATTAATGGGTCTTTAGGATTCAATTCCAAAGCTCTCTATAATAAAAAATAATAAAATAAAACACTAAATTAATTACAAACTATTATTTACAAAAATGTAAACATACTTGTAAATGAAATTTTACAGTTTCTAATTTTTCCAATTGTTCCTTAATTCCAAAATTAATTTTACTATGTGCGTCAATTAAAACAGCAGCCCATTTATGGACTTCAGATATATTTGAATCAATACTTAATGCTTTAATAATGGATTCATGAGCTGATGATATTAACATTTTTTTTTTTTCTTTACTGATATTTTCATCTAAACTCATATTGTATTTAGCTTTACTAATACGCCACAATACTTGTACATCATTTTTATCCTATAATACATTGAATAAGAATTAAAATTTATAAGTATATAAAACAAAATAATCAGATATTTATAAATGCATCTCCTAATCAACAAAAAAATTAAGTTTTAATGTATAAACAATTAAAAAGTAAACTTCTTAAGAATTATTTCACTAACTTTATTACACAAGAGTATTATCGCTGATTTTACAAACTTTTAAATTTTAACAGCTAGCAACCTTAAAATAAATAAAACTACTATTCTTTTAACAAAATACTATTGTACCAAAAACTAATTAATACAAATATATAAAATTACCTCATACTCTTCAAGCAAAGAAACCACATCATCAAACTTATTAAGTAAGAAAAGCTGATCAGCTTCGATGATTTTTTGTTTCAATTCATTTTTAGCATCGTCATCAGATGGTTCTTGTTTAACTTCAGTAGTTGAAACAGTAGAGTTGTACCCAAAAAAAGGAATAGCAAAGCTCAATGTCACTGGTATGCGAATCTAAATAGATGATTTATATTTAAATATCAGATTTAAACATAAAACAATCAACCTATATGTGTGCACTCAGATCAAGTCAGACAATCCTAGACTCAACCAAGTATTTATAGGGACACTGACGTACTGATTATATGATTTTAAAGGAAAATAGGCTACCAATAAACTCGGTATTTTCATTCAAAATAATAAACCGATCACAAAAACTGGCCATAACATTGAACTATAATTAAATTGAACATATGACGGAATTACAGAAATAAACAAACTTAAGAATCATCAGAATTTAAAAAAATCCAAGAACCTATTTCAAAAACAGTAGACTGGAATAACAATCATGAACACGACCGAAAGTCTAAACTCGCAAACGCACATATGGACATGGATTACAGAATACACTATGAGTGAAAATAAGAATGCTTACTTTAGACGAAACAAGTTGCATACGATTTGAAACTAAATGTGTTAGCCGATGATGTCTCACGGACCGTCCAAGCAATTCGTAGGCGAACCAACCGACTTGTCTTAATCGGTTCCTGAACATTTTCACGGACAAATCTAAATCGTATATTTTATACCACGAAAAAATCTGACAAGTTCCGGCGTGTTAGTATGTCAGTAGGCGCGTTCGTGTCGCCACTGAGCAGTAGAATTTTCGGTTTTTTTTGTCCGTCTTTAAACTGATTAACGATTGGTAAAATAATATTGGGTCGTCAATAAAGCACCGGGAAGGAATCACAAACGGTCGAGGCGCAGGAAAACGGTGCAAAAAAAAGATCCAGAAGATTACGAATTACTATGACGATCGGCGTTCCTGTTCCTTATCGCACTGTGAATTGTTTGCAATCACCGTGGACCATAGATAATAAAAAAGTTTTACGTATATTATCTACGCCATAAACGCATATCCTTATCTTTTCCACCCGCACATATGTCTACGCATAGATAATAAATGAATAAATCATTTATTATCTATGTGTCTACGGATACCGCCGTAGAAAAGATAATAATCGACTCAACGCGGAAATTTGATAACGACAAGACGTGCGGTACAGAAGGTGCCGACGTTTACCCGTCGCTTCGTTCACTCTTTTCGTTTAAAAAAGTCGTACCTCGTATGAATATATCATGTGCGCAGTGTTCTTTTACTTCCTAAATATCAGAACATTCCCGTCGACGATACTATTGAAACCGTAGAAAAAAATATATACATTTACCGTTCGCACGTTGACCGATATTGCAAATCTGTCAAAAACTGGAACCCTAAAAGTATTGTAAACCATTTCGATAAAAATAACTATGTTCACCATTGTGTTATGTATCGAAAATATGTTTTAAATTTACAAACACTCTTCAGTTAGGTTTTTGAAATGCACCCTGTTGTAAAGTAAACCGCTCTCACGTCTTGTTCTGAAACCATAAACAAGCGTTCAACTGATATTATTCACAATGTGTCGTTTAATTACTTGCTACGGTAGCAAAGTGTCAACCCAAAATTATATTAAAATATTATACACCTTATGACTTTAAGTCAATAAATATATTACATATATAAATACATTTAATAGATTCTGTTTTATTTTTTTTATTGTTACAATGTTTACTTGTCTTCAGAATGTAAGATGGGTATTCTTTTTAGATTTTTTGTATGTTATTAAAAAACTATTAATAATTTAAATAATAAAATAAAATAAATAATACTTCTCAAAAGTTATAGTGCACCTGTTGTAAATTATAATATTTTACATTTGGCGATATGGCTGTACAATTATAAAGTTTTAATTTTCATGATGTGGGCATTGTTTTTTTTTAACCTAATAGACATAAATAATCAAATTTAAACTGAATAATAATTTATTGTTTATTATGCATTAATTGATTATGACAAAGTAGTATTTGGATTTATCCAATATTTATAATTTTCATCGTAAATTTAACCCAATCATGTTTTTCACAGATGACATTTATACGGTTGCTATTAGTGGTTCCAATATTTTCAGGTTATCTGTTTTGGCTTTATTACCTTATTCAAAATGTTCCAGTAATAGAAAACCAAGTAAAAACTGAACAATACTTTTCTCTACAAATATTTTATTTATAATTTGTTTTTGTTTTCAATATAGTGCAGTATTGAATTTGCAATACCTAAGACTTTAACTGAAATCATTGCTCTAAATTCTTGTTTAAAACAATACCTCAACAGTAATTACCTTTACATACTTGTCTTGTTTAGTAGCGTTTATATTTTCAAACAAACATTTTGCATTCCAGGATCTATTATACTGGTAAATATCTGTTTCATATTTATTGTTGATTGTAATATTCATGACCATTCAAATATATTTTACAGAATGTAATGGCTGGATCATTGTTTGGTTCCAGTATAGGATTTCTATTAGTATGTACACTTTCAAGCATTGGTGTTTCAGCATGTTACCTTCTATCTAAACTATGTGCTATCGAGACAGTAATAATGAACTATTTACCAAGTCAGTTAACTTCATCTAAAACTACTCTAGAAAATTTAGTAAGTGCAGTACAATAATACTATGATAATGTAGTTATGTAAATTTTTTGTGTACATTACCATTTGAAAACAAGTTTTTATAAAAATTGTATATCATACTTTACAACATGTTTAATGATTAATATTTTATTGACAAAAAATATTTAAATTAATTGAATGCATAGAGTTATATAGGTACATTATAATATTTATAATCTGTATTTATAGGTAGAAAAAAATAGGGATCAACTATGGTATTTACTTTTGGTCTTGCGTGTCATTCCGGTCACACCAAACTGGTTGTTAAACCTAATTGCTCCAATTGTCAAAATTCCTCTTTTTACTTTCACTTATACGACATTTTTCGGTATGTATCACGGTTATTCTACTATAAATCATGTTAATTTAATTTTATAAATATATTTAATGATAAGAATTCTAAAAGAAAGAAATTGTTTACAGGATTAATGCCATACAATTATATATGCTGCCAGAGTGGTCAAACATTATCAAGTATTAATTCATTGGAAGAAATTTTTACTTTAAAAACTACCATGCAATTAATGTCCATTGCTGTAGCTCTAGTGATTATAAAAATTGCCTCAAGGTTTTGTAAAATAAAGACCTAATTATTTTTATTGTGATTTATTTTTAATTATAATTCTTTTATTTATTTAATACGCAAATAAAAAAAATGTTATCTTTTAAGAATACTGGTATATTTTTGTTATAATTACTACTCTTTGCTATGAGTAGAAGACAAACTTTTGTAAAAGTACAGTGATACTCCTCTGACACAAAGGTATAAAGAAATATTTTATTTATTATACATTACCTAATAATGGTTTTCAACCTTTCTATGTAATCGACCTATATTTTCCCAACTTTTCATGCGACCTTTTTGAAAGTAATGTTCAATAGAGGACTGTTGTATTCCCTCTCTATCTACCATCTTCAACTGTAATTTTAATTATAAAGACAAAATAAACTATTATTCTTTTTTTATCTTCATTTATTTTTAAAGAAATATACTCCTATTCATCATTATTTGGGTCCTGACTTATGATCAAATGCATATTTAAATAAAAATATCTATTGACTATATATTTCTGAATAGTTTGCATATTCTACAATATTCATTTAAAAAGATAAAATTTAATTAAATCTGTGATACCTATTTGGTGAACAGATAATTTAATAATCTAGTAGTCATATAAAACCTCATCCATGTCTGTAAGAGTGCAGTTAGAAATAACCAATATTATTTGAGGTATTGAAGAGTTATCACCTAAAGACATTTTTTGTTATAATTGAGTGCTTATAGTACCACGTGGCATAGGAATAAATTATTTAAGTATAAATCTATGCAATGTTATACTCGCAGAAGTTTCGAACTTGAGAATCTAAAATAACATTTTATTTCTTCGCAACTTCTTGTTATTACTCATAACAAAATTAATATTTTATATTTTTAATTTTGCATAATATATAATTGAACTTGAGATTATATTTAGTAAAATTAATTTGTAATGATTTTTTAGCATATAATAAAAATATACATTTTTGAATGTTTGTATGCATATTCAACAACATTTTTTGCATAAAAATCAAGGTTAATTATAATTTATGCTTGTAACAGTAACTTTTTAAATACAACATTTTTTTTATTTATACTTTTAATATTATTACGGTAGACCACGTTCATTTTGGTAGATCGAATATTTTTGTGGTAAACCGCATTGGAAGATAGCCAATAATAATTTACTGTATTCATTTACAATATTAATTTTTTTGTAGCTTTTTTTTTATTTCATGCACTTTTTTTTTTACCTATCAATCTGAGCTCTATTAATTATCTACTTATATTAAGTCAAAATATTAAAAACATTTTATTTAAAAATATGAAAATATTCACCTTAATATTATTGTATATTATTAAAACTTTAATATTATAATAAAAAAAATTATTTTTCAACGGAATAAAAATCGAAATGTAATAACTTCCGTAGTGTTGATATTGCTTTTATAATAATTTAAAATCATTTTTTTTTTTGTAAATCTATAAATGTTAATTATGATGTAATTTTCATATATTGTCTAATCGTAAAGAATTTTAGAGATATTTCCCTATATTGTATAAATATTCGAACAAATAAAGACTAAAAATACAGGCTCAATAAACCAGTGATAACGACCTTCAAAGGTGGGCTAATTAACTAGTTTAAAAATTAAAGTTAAGTTAAATCCGCCCCTGCACCTATCCGTCTTGCCAGTGTACACACTTGTTTTTTTTCACACAAGACTTTACACGTCTGGTGAGCCACGTGAGTCCTGTTTGACGGTGACGTGAATACGGACTATTTCGCTAGAACCACCGTCCCAAGGTTTTTCAGGACCAGGGTCAAACTAATTTGGGGACTCTTCGACCATAATAATAAGATATGATAAACAAAATACTCACTGAGAATAACAAAATTCTTGCAAACCTTAACCAATCAAGCTCATTTAAATGCATGCACTGCATTACATACTTACATAATATCATTGAATATTATTTATAATTTAACCGTTCAACGTAATCGGACAAGTCGCTACACGTTCACACGTGCGCGACTTCGATCGCCGACACGCAGCGTGTAAAATTGCTCAGTGTAATCGAGGCTTGATTATTAATTATTTTACATCAAGACTTTATAGGAGGCCCCCTAAAAAATATTCCAACAATGG